GGAGACACAAAAGTAAAAAGAATGCTCTGTTCCATGAACTAACTCTCTGTCCCCCTTGCTCCATTTCAGAGCGTGGCATCAGGCAAGGGTGAAAACACTCACCTGCCTGGGAAGCTGATTCCTTCACTGGGCTGACAGTGAACGATGGTAAGAAACACCAGCATCTGTCTTGTTACACTCTAGTTTTCTGTTGCTGGGTTATGGAAGTAAGACTCATTCTCCTGTGTCAGATGATATCCATCTGTGTCCCAGGGGCTCCTAGGAGGAGATATCAATGCCCAATGGCTTGATTAAGGTAATTAAGCCCATCAAGGCTGTAGCTTTGTTGCAGCTGCCACCTGAGTTGCAGCCCTTTGCTGCTTTGGAGCACAAGTTGAAAGGCAGCTCAGAATGAATGGGGATTTGGCAGTTGTTGGTGGCCAGTAGAGCACCTGCTTGTCAGCATGGTCAAAAATGAGCAAGAGTAGAAGAGATTAAAAGTAGAATGGATTGGATGACAACCCATTATGGAGACACTTGACACAGCTCATCTCATAACTCTTATTATAACAGAAATAGACCTATTGAAAGAATAATTGGTCTGTGTACTTACCTGGGGCAGTTTCAATCTTGCATTGGGTTGCTGGGGAGCTGCAGGTCACCAAAGGGTTCTAGAAAGAACACACTCTGAAGAACCCTTCCCCAGAAGGGTTGTCTTTTCTGTCTTGGGTCTTATAGACCTCTAGACAGTTTTCATCCTGGATGAATGGATCATTCTGCTGTGCAAGGAGGGAGTCAGATGAAGGTGCTTCAGTGGGATGATGAGGAGAGTGTCTGCTGGAAGCAGCTAAACAGGGTCTAAGGCACCAAAGTCTCAGAGCTAGTGGGTTTGTTGGTTTTTTTCTAAGTAAGGATTTAAATAGCATCCACCTCCCAAAGTTTTTTATCTCTGAGTGAGACAACTGACTAACAGACCTGCTCCTTTGTCTCTATGGGACAGGCTTCTGCTGTCCTGTTTGTGTGACAAAAATTCCTGCCTCTGCATGGAAACATTCCTCTTTAATTCATGCTCTGCAACCCAGTGCTGGTTTTTGTCAGAAGGGGTGGAGAAGGAATGAAGGGAGGGCAAACTCTACACCAAGTATTGTTGCTAACAGTGTTCCATGCTACTTGTATTGAGGAGGAAATCATCCTGCAGAATCCTGGGGTTGGATCTTCTCCCAAAGAAAGCTTTGGCAAGACAGCAGCTGCTAAGTTGGACTTCAAGATGGTAAGAGAATGCTCTTGAGTTTATGAATTGTTTGTTGGGTCTGTACCCATCTGCTGAGCAGATCACTTGGTCTTCCAACACTTACTAGGAAAAATAGTCATCAAGAACTCTGGTCACCAGGTCTGCTGTAATTCTGTGGGGCTGGAGGAGTCTATGTAGCCAAGGGCAGGTGAGAAACTGAGCCTGTGATGTGCTGTTATCCCTGTCTGAGCTCAGCTGTGAGGGAGAAACGAGAGTACACTGAGGCTCAGTCTCCTGCCCCTTGCAAATACTCCCCAGAGATGTTGTGGAATCTCCTCTGGAGACTTTCCAGACCCATCTGGATGCCTTTCTGAGTGACCTGCCCTAGATGTGGTCCTGCTTTGGCAGGGGGGTTGGACTCGATCTCCAGATGATCTTCCAGCCCCTGAGATACTGTGGTCCTGTGCCTCGGGTGGCACCAGCAGGGCCACAGCAGAGTCTGTCCCCTTTCCTCCTGCCCTTGGGACCTGTGACTGCACCTCCAGCACAGGGCCTGCCAGCACTGCCTCTGGTTGTCATAGCACAGTTTACATCTGTGAAGAGCTTTCCAGCTCCTTATCCAAAACCAGGAGGCACAGCGGCAGGTTAGAGGGCAGATAAAACTGCCTTTTTATCTGGCCTGATGTAGAGTCACTGAGCACACAGGCTGGAGCAGCACTTTGTCTCCAGGGAGCTGGCAGCTGCTCTCTGCTCAGTCATTTCATGCTTTATTTAACAGAATTTGTCTTTGTTTGCAGAAGATCAATAACATTCACTGACAGGCTGAACCAGGCAAACGTGACAACAGTGGCTCCTTAAATGACATCCAGGTTGGTGTCCAAAAAGGGAGGGAATGGAACTGCAAAACCAGCAGGCAGATTGGTTGCTCTGTCAGTACAGCAGGTTCCTAGTAGGAGTAGTCACTGGGAAGAGCGCGTGGGGTTTTTGGCTTCCAAGGAGGAAGGGGAGAAAAAATGAAGGGGCACCTGGTGATTAATAGGAAAAGTAAAAACTACTCAGTGCTTTGAGAATAGAGAGAGGCAGGAATCGTTTCAGAAGAAACTTGGTGAGGAGAGCAGTTACAGTGTTGCTTTGTGGTCGTCTCTCCCACCTCTAGAAGCAACAGAAGGAAGATGGTTCTGGAGTGGATCTAGGAAATGGCCACGGATGGGTCATGCAGGATGGTGTGAAATGGCCACCTCTGTATACCTGCAGGCTGCTCCTCAGTGGTTGCTGCACCTGGATCACTGGTAAGTTCCCAGTAAAGCCAAAGAGGATTTGGGTACTGATGCCATTGGCTTGGGGGAGGGAGCAAGGTTTTGTCTTCTGAAACCTGTGCTCTCCATCAGGTAGAGCAAATGAGGAACCTTTCAGCTGACAGTTGCTTTGCTCTGACCCTGTTTTTTTTTCCTCTAGGTCCTGATCTGCAGTTGGCTGGAGGAAAAAGTGATTCACTGCTGTCTTCTACAGAATAAAAAAAGTTATGAAAAATGTTGGGAGTTAAAAGTTGTTTGTTGGTTAGAGAAGGTTATCTACTGGGACATAAATGGTTTTGAGCAGGTAGAAAGGATGAGGGGCTGAAAGGATTTCTGAAATTCAGAGAGTTGTGGGCTTACCCTTAATTGCAAAACCTGCTCCTCCCTGATACCCAAAGACTTCAGTGTCTGCAGATGCTGAAGAAATGCAGTTTATGGTAACAGTGTGACCAAGCTACTTCCAGCTGAGCTAGGACAGGTGACAAGAGTTGGTTCTTCTGGGGCTGAAACTCCAGGGTGAGGTGAGAGGCAGCAGCACAGCCATCAGGTCCTTTGTCTGTTTTAGAGTCGTGTTTAACTCCAGGGCTTGGCTACACCCTGGCTACAAAACCTCCCTTTCTGAGCTGGGAAAGGAGGGTGTGTGTCTTTCCTGCTGTGTGCAAACAGCTCTGCCCAGGAGCTGGATGGGACTCCTGGCAGGATGCTGCACCTGCCATTTGCTTTTAAAAACCTGTTCTTTGTGCCCTGTGTGTCAAGGTGCTGCTAATCACCTTCACAGTCACCTGCAGGAGCTGTGCCAAGGCTTGGCCAGAGCTGGTTCCAGGAGGTTTTCGTGCTGTCTTGGTCAGGTGATGTGAGGATCAGGCTCCTTCTTGTCATGGAAGAGGTTTTGCTGAGAGCGTGTGAATAAAAAACCAGGCCAAACAGGCTGCCTTGGTACCATCTACGTTGGCTCTGATGTGAACAAAGGTTAATTTGAGACCTGGGAACACAAGATGGGCTCCAAGCTGGAGATTACATCTGAAACAGGTTTATAGACTAATCTGTAATGCTCATTTGAGCTGGCTGGAAGCAGCTGGGACAGGGGTTGAGGCCTCCTGGCTCATGGCCAGATAATCTCTTGCCATCTCTGCAAGAATCTGCTCCTCCCAACCTGAGCAAACAGCATCTCAAGTGGGAAAAGGCTGAACCAGAGATCCCACTGTTCTCAGAGCTGCTCCCAGAGATCCCAAAGGGTGCCAGGCACAGCCTTCCCTGCCTGCCCAGGTCTCCACCCAGTTCCCATCCCTGGCTCTGAGGCCACCATCCCCCAGTTGGAGGTCACTTTTCTACCTACTGCAGCTCCTGTGCTGTGTGGGGGGTGGTTCTTACCCCCAACCCTGTTTGCTGAAACAACAGAAATGGGCATAAAAGGAAACAATCATTCAACATTTATGTAATTACACAAAGTGGGAAAGTGTCTCAGATTACACCCCTGCTGGGCTGTGTCCACCACCAGCTGGAGCAGCCTCCCCCACAGGTCCTCCTTAGCAGCACTGGGTTACACAGGATGGCTGAAGGGTTCAAGACCTTCACCTCCTTCAGGGTGGTTTTTTTTTGGAGGGAGAACAAAGTTTCCAAGAGTGACAATGGCTTAGACTCACCCAAGGAGCTTAGTGGGTGCCCTAGCCCACCTGGCATGGGGCTTCATTCTCAAAGCACTTGGAGGGCACCACATGGTCCTCGTGCAAGAGCTCAACAAACCCCATGTCACACACAATGCTGATGTCCCAGCTGAGCTGCAGTTACCCTGCTCTTAGCTGATGGCTTTTAAGACCTTTCCTTGTTGGAAAATAGTGGGATGTAGAGCAGGGGGACATGAGAAGACACCCTGTGTCTGTCACAGGAGAGGACAGCTGGGCCACGGGCTTTCCTGTTGATTGTGGAGGCAAACAGATCGTTCAGGAAAACAGATCAACCTGGAGCTTGCTGGAGTTCAGGCTTTCTGCAGTCTGAGGGAGCCACACCACCTTTGTGTTAGCTGGATGATCTGTCCCTCCTGTCCAGGGATTCATGATGCCTGTTGTGGGCTCACCAGTGATAAGCATTTGAGCTGGGCTGTCACACCCAGGGGATGGGTGACTTCCAACCGGAGGATGCCACACATACACATCTCCATCGTGGTCTTCCAGCATCAAACTTCCCCTCTTCTGCTTCCCAGCCATGTTTGTGAGGCTGAGAGGTCCCAGCCACATACCGTGGTGCTTCTTGGTGCCCTAAATGCCACGTTCAACCACACTGAAGCATGCAACAACTTTCCAGAGATCCCTGAAGAAATGCAGCATTTCCCTGTACCAGCCTCAGCTTTACCACCACTGCCAGCTGTGGTGTGGAGGGTCTGCTCCTTGGGCTGGCCTGCCAGCTGGGGAGAGCCCTCAAGAGGGAGAAGGTGGCCTTTGGGAAGGAGAAGAGCCACAGGAGTCCTTGCACTTGCCCCCATGGGCCACCCCCCAGCCTCACCGCTGGTAGAGGGTCATGATCCCTGCCCGGTGCAGGCTCCTCCACAGCGCGGCCTCCAGCATCATGTCATGGTTGGCATAAAACACCAGTGGTTTCTTCTCCAGCTCGTAGTAGTGATCTGAGAACTGCTCGTAGTTGGAGGTGATGAACCCGTAGGCACTGACCTGTGGGGAGGGAGGTGGGGCAGGTGGATGGAGTGTGAGGTCAGAGCTCAGCCAAAGGTGCTCCGGGGACAAGGGGTGGCAGATGTAGGACAGCCACCAGGACACGCTGGTCCCCGTCAGCAGCCAAAAGGGGGGTCCCCTGGTCCCCAAGAAGAAGGTGGCCCCATGACCTCTTACCTGGTCGCAGGTGTGGAGAGCAGTGAGGAGCATGAGGGCACCAGTGCTGGGCATGTAGAGCGACCCGAACCGCGTGTTGAGCAGCTCCGAGCGCAGGACCCTGCCGGAGCAGCTGGGGGTCACAGGCAGCCCACGGCCCCAGTGCCTGCCCAGCACCACCAGTGCCTGCCCAGCCCCTCCCAGTGCCTGCCCAGCCCCTCCCAGTGCCTGCCCAGCCCCTCCCAGTGCCTGCCCAGCCCCTCCCAGTGCCTGCCCAGCCCCTCCCAGTGCCTGCCCAGCCCCTCCCAGTGCCTGCCCAGCCCCTCCCAGTGCCTGCCCAGCCCCTCCCAGTGCCTGCCCAGCCCCTCCCAGTGCCTGCCCAGCCCCTCCCAGTGCCTGCCCAGCCCCTCCCAGTGCCTGCCCAGCCCCTCCCAGTGCCTGCCCAGCCCCTCCCAGTGCCTGCCCAGCCCCTCCCAGTGCCTGCCCAGCCCCTCCCAGTGCCTGCCCAGCCCCTCCCAGTGCCTGCCCAGCCCCTCCCAGTGCCTGCCCAGCCCCTCCCAGTGCCTGCCCAGCCCCTCCCAGTGCCTGCCCAGCCCCTCCCAGTGCCTGCCCAGCCCCTCCCAGTGCCTGCCCAGCCCCTCCCAGTGCCTGCCCAGCCCCTCCCAGTGCCTGCCCAGCCCCTCCCAGTGCCTGCCCAGCCCCTCCCAGTGCCTGCCCAGCAGCCCCCACCGTGCACTCCATTAAACCCACAAGGCAGGAGCGCCGAGTGAAACGGTGCTGGTGTGAATTCTCTGATGGCTGCTACCAAGGGTCAGCTCAGGCACTGCAGGCTGCTGAAGGCACCTCCCTGCTCTTTGAAGTTGCCCCAACCCGGGTCCCTGTTTTCATGAAAGGCAGGAAAACTGCCTTCAGGCCCTGCCTCTGCTCCTGTTGGACTGGCTCAACAGTTCATGTATCTTGGGGAACAGGCAGTGAGGTGAGCACGGTGAGGCACTGGGAGCCCCCCTGCCAGGAGGGGATGTGGGGTCTGCTGTGGTGGATGGCAATGGCAGAGGACAAATCTCCCTGCTTTCCCTGCAGAGAGCAGGACAGAGATGGTTCCAGTGCCTGCAGAGGACTGGGAGTGCACTCTGAGGCTGGGCAGCCTGTACTGGAGGGAGCAGGGGTGGGAGGCAGGTGGTCTGAGCCCAGCCATGGTCCTCCTCATCCTCACCTCTCTCTCAGGTAATGCAAGAAATCAGGATGCAGCAGCTTGAACTTCTCTGCAGATGCCTCAGGTCCAAAATACTTCTGTGGCCTGCAAGGGGGGTGAGAAGGAGGGCAGAACTGAAGTCATGGCAGTTGTGGGGCTACTTGAGGTTTATCCCATCAGGAACAGGTGTGGGGTGGGGGCAGGCAAGTCATGCTCCCTTGGGTGTGTCACCAAAGGGGCTGGGAGGATCTTGAGGGGGGTACTCACCTGTCCCCCTTGTCAGTGCCCTCAGGGACAGGGCTGCCCTGGATGGCTGACTTCAGCATCACGTAGTCACGGATGTCTGAGGGGATGAAGATGTACCTGAGGTCCTGCAGGGGGGACACAGACAGTGCTGGCTGGGGGGGCTTTGGGGGCACCACCCGCATCAGCAGGGCAAGAGCTGAGGGCTCCTGAGATGGGGAGAAGGGGCTAAGCCCAACCTCAGGGGACAATCCGGGGTGACCTCCCCAACAAGCCCTGGGGCTCTCACCTCCCCCTGGGGTATCTGGGTGAACCCGAACTCCTCGTAGGCGATGAGCGAGTTCTTCATGGTGTTCACCGTGAAGCCGTAGAAGGAGATCTTGGTCCCCACGTCCTCCTCAAAGCCCTTGATCACGGCACCGTTGAGCCTGCAGGAGAAGGGCAGGATGCTTGCCCAGGGTCCAGCATCTCTCCCCAAGCACCCACGGCCCCATCCTGCTCAGGATCCGTTCCCCACCTGAACACCAGGTGGTGGGCGTCGATGGCCTTGCCCTGCCGGGAGCCGTTGAGGATGCCACCGTTGCCCACCACAGCACAGCGGATGCAGCCCCCCGGGAAGGTGTCCCTGGCAAAGAGGTGCCTGTTGGCCGAGGCGTTGAGGAGCTGGAGGGTGCTGCCCACAGCTGGAAGGGAGCAGGACACGACCCGTCAGCAGGGACAGCACTTCAGCTTGTGGGACATCCCGCCCGGGAGCAGGACATCCCGACATCCTCAGGAGAGGGGGCTACAACAAGGGTGGGGGGACACCAGCCAGACCCTCTTCTGCCAGGTTGGCCCCTTCACAGCCCCCCCAAACAAGCCCACTCCAAACAGCAGCTGCCTGAAGCTGTGGAAGCACAGGGACACATCCAGGCACCTCCAGCCCTGCAGATGCTGCTGCCTGCGCTGGCCATGTCCCCTCTTGACAATGTCTCCTTGCATCTGCCCCCCTCCTCACTCCCCCCCTGCCATTCCCAGCACTTCCCAGCCTGAGGATCAAAGCTGGCAGCTGCCAGGGAGAGCAGAGGGTGGGTTTGGGGTAGGAAGGAAAACAATTTCCACCCACAACAATGGAGCGGGTTGTCCGGGCTCCTCCGGCCCCAGTTAATTATCGAGCTCACACTGGAGCTTTTATTCCAGGAAAATGTCACAAGATGCAGCAAGTGGCATTTGCAAAGCTGTCCCCTCTGCCCCGTGACCCAGGAGCTGGAGTGGGGAGGGTTCAAGGTCCTTGGCTCCTTTGCCCAATCTGCTGCCTGCCCCATGCCCACTGGGTCTGTACCTGCGTGGGACAAGCCCTGCCAGCCGTAGGGGACGTGTCGTGACTTCAGCCTGTCCCAGGTCTCCGGGGTGAAGTGCTGGTCCCACATCAGCACAGGGGTGTCGAAGTGGAAGATCTCCCTAAACCTGGGGTCTGCCTTTGCTTTGGCCAGCACTGAGTGGGGGCACATGCTGGGCTGGAGGGGAGGAAGACCTTGGTTCAGTCTCCAGCCTGGGTCTAACCTTCCATCCAACATCCCACCTCTCAGCAGGCACTAAGGAGAGGACAAACCCAGGGACAAAAATGCTCCTTGTCCATCTCCCTTGGTGGGTCACACAGGCCCTGCATCATGCCTCAGTTTCCCCAGCTGCAAAATGCCCTTTGGTACCTTTTTCACCAGGGCTGGGAGGGTCGGAGCTTAGACAGACACCTGAAAGCGTGAGCCCTGTGAAAGCTGCAACATATTCTAGTGTGGGCACCTTGTTCAAGGTCTTTGCTGCAGGAGCAGCCCCAGCACCCAGGACCAGTCCCTCCCAGAGCCTGGGTCCATCTTCATGAGCCACCAGCCCAGGCATCATGGAGCTGGAGGGAGCAGGTGACACTGGCTCCAACCTCCACACTGGGGAGCTGCACAGGGAGATGCTGCAGCCACACCAGAGAAGCTCAGGGAGACCCAGATCCATGGATGGAGGAGGTTGCTCCTCCACGCACACAGACACCTAAAACCCCCTCCAGATCCTGCTGCTCCTCCTCAGCTTCTCCACACAGACCCTGAACTGACAAAACCCATCAAGGAGGAGGTGCCAGGGACACTGACCATACTGTGCTAATGGTTACCTGCTTTCTGCTGGGCTTGGGGTCCTCCAGCTTGGCAGGAGGCTTGAAGGAATTCCCACTGAGGAAGGAGGAAACATAGACCAGGGTTAAAGATCCAACCCTTGGGCACCAGGGAGCCCCAGCTTGTGCCAGGACCACCAGGCACACCTTCCCCCTTACCTGTCCAAGCCACCTCCAAGGCCCCACCTGTGGCTGCTGACCCGGTGTGATGTCCCTGGTGGAGCCAGGACCAGTGGCTCTGGCTGCAGCAGGCTGGGAGAAGAAGCCAGTGGGGGCTCAGCCAGGGAGGTGATACAGGGTCACCACAGCTCAACACCCCCCACCCCTGAGAGCCCCAGAGAAGGACCATGTCACCCTCACCCAGCCCCTTGACTGCTGCCTGTGCCCATCCAGCCTCACCTGTGCCTGTTCCCTCCCGAGGGTTTGCAAAGCACAGGGTTTATGCAGGGAGGATGGGTTCCACCTCCAGGACCCCCATGTACCAAAAACTGCTCCCAGTCCAGCCTGCAGCTTTGGGGGAATCTTCTTGAGAGTTCTTCCCACCACCCTGCACTTCCCAAGCTGAAGCAGGAGGAGGAGGATGAGGCTGGGACAAGCTGGGCACGTGGCAATTGGGAACTAGAGGCTCTCGGGGACCCCCTTTGCCATGGGACCAGCTGGGGTGTGCCCTGACCCCTCAGCAGTGCTGGGGATGGAGGCAGAAGGTCACTGCCCTGAGCATCTTGGGGTGCCCTGAGCCCCTCGGGGGGCAGGCAGGGGTGCAGGCTGGTGAGTAGGAGGTGGGAACCCACCGGAGGGGAACAGGCTCCCATTCATCCCCGCACAGAAGGGCCCTTCAGAGCCCCCACGGCGCTGCCTCCAGCCCAGCCAGCAGGTGCTCAGGCCAGAAGGGGGGTATTGTGGAGAGGACAAGGGCCCCCTTGTTACAGGAGCTCAGCTTGGGAGCCCAGGGACAGGTAGAGGCAGGTGGGGAGCAGAGCTCTGCCTGCCCCCCTGGCGTGACAGGCGTTGGGTTTCTGTCCCCACCTCAGCCTCTCTCCACACCAGCAGCACCAACAGCCCTGCCTGGGAGTGGATCCAGAGCCGTTTGCCACCTAAACCTGCTCCGGGCCCCCCCCCGGGGGGTTGGCATGACGGGGGGGGGACAGCCCAGAGCCTCACCTGGGTGCTGGCACTGGGAGCTGGAGCATCTCCCAGGGGTGGGTGGGGAGTCAGGGTC